ATTTAGGGCAGAACGATAGGTGTGATGGGAGCGACAAGCAAAGCTGTCGTGGTCAAATGGAGCGCGCTCAAATGGATGTTCGGCGACATGTTGACAACGCCACACACAAGCAGCTCCACAGACTAAAGCGGGTGATGCGCATATAGACGTGTACATGATTTTTGAGGACATGACCTGGTGTATGGTCCCTTTCCTCTAAGCGGCCGCACAGCCACGGGCGGCTAATGTCCGGACACACCATCGAACATCAACCGCCTGGCAAACTGTGCTTAATCAAGCAACATAGCATATCAAAGTGCGGCATCCTCGATATGCATTCGATTACAGCGCATACAATGTCGAAAAAGCCGACAACAACTCAGAGCGGCACCGGCACCGGCTCATACAACGGCTCGTACAACCACTCCAACCAGCGAACAAACATTCCAAATTGCGACGCGACAGCATCTCACGCAGCTGTAATATCGTGAACAACGGAAAAGAAAAACAGCTTGTCCATGCATTCCGCCTACCGTTTCCATAGCTTCAGTTCCCAATGCAGCCATCAGAAACGCGACCGTGCAACGAAGTGTGTCAACGCATGCGCGGCGAAGAAATCTGTAGCACCAGGCGTCATAAAAAGGTGTGAAGGCAGCGCGCACGTTGGTTGCTCCGTGTGTGTGTGCACGCGTAGTCCACCGCAGTGTGTACGCGACCTCCGCACCGCACCCATACATGGCTTCCACGCGATGCCCCAACCGCCCAATCGGCATATCTACGCTAAGAACCCTCATACCAAAGCCAGCACCGAGGCACGGCCCATACGTTCATGAATTAAACATAATTATTCTACCTGCTACCGTCCCCTATGTAAAAGCCCTATGGACAACAAACCATATAAGCCCCCCTTTCCCCCTTTTGGCAGATGGACTGCAGCAACAGCAAACCAGCATTCGTGGGCAGCGAGAGGAGCGATAGCATACATATGTGAGGTAAGGTGGGCATGCTGGCAACACAAGAAATAGGATGCCATAGCATCTGTCGTGGGGCTACCGTCAGGGGGGATGGGTAAACATTGAAGTGGAGACCGAGGTGAAGCGGGTTGGTTATGAGGGCGGGTTTCAGGG